TAAATACATGGACTAATTTTAACGATTGAATTACCACTTAATTAATTATTTTATTATATTTATTATTTATGGAAAATTATTTAATTATTTATTCGGAATAAATTTTAATTACTGGAATTGATTTATTGAGAAAACTGCGTCGCATTTCGAAATTTAAGACCGTGGATAATTTTTTGAGATTACATTTTTTCACTGAGGTGCATTATTTATAATCTAATCGTCATTCGTAAATTACTAGAAATTTATTATTCCACGTGTTATTAATTGTTGAGAACTAACTTATTAAATTTCGACGCAGATAAGACTGAAACACCCGCAGGAAAGTTGAGGCACGTAATTTTCATATTGAGTAAAATTATAATTTATTATCTAATTAAATTGCCAATTTCTGCTTGGGGAGTCTTATATATTGAAATATTGTCTGTAAAAATTTGTCAATAATTAAGTATTGTTATTCCGGTAAAATCATTAATAAAAACTATTTATTCGTGTGGATTAAGTCCGTGAAAAATATAGTCAATTGTACGAAAGAATATTCTAAGAATTTGTTAATGCGCAGAGATAAGCTCGTGTTAAAAATGGAGGGAGAAGAAGCGTCGGTTTAAGCCGGAAATTTTAAGAAGTAAATTTATTAATTTATGAGAATAAATTCAGGAGTTTTTATTATGGTAATAAGCTAATGACTGATAAATTTTAATGAAAATTAACGTTGTAAATTTTTGGAGTTAATTTTTGTAAATCCGGAAATCATAAAATAGAGTCAGTATGTGTGTGTGAGCGGAGTATGTGTGTGGAGATCGTGTGGGTTGTGTGTGTGCGGTTGTACGCGTTCTCTACTTGTTGATGAATTGCCGAGTAGAGTAATTCGTACAGTCCTAGAGCGTGAGGGTCCGGTGGACAGCGCGACGTAGTTAGAAACCGCAGTATAGACGCTCCGTATGAGGGTACTGCGGGAATAGGAATTTTTTTAAGACGAACCCTACTTGTTGATGAATTGCCGAGTAGGACGACTAGGACTTGGTGCGACGTCTTCTGCTTGTTGATGAATTGCCGAGCAGAGGATTAGCATTGAGTGAGGCGACGGTTTTAGCCCGAAATCCTCAAGTAGATATAAGTTGTAGTAGCGACTTCCCGGTGGGAAGCGTGAAGTAAGAAGTATAGATATAAGTTGTAGTAGCGACTTCCCGGTGGGGAGCGTGAAGTAAGAGATCGTAGTATTAAGTCGTAGTTGTAAGTGAGTAGTTGTAAGCGAGTTGGGAGTACGTACAAGTGTACGAGTTGTTGATTTTATTGTTAATAAATTTTGGCCAATTGTTAAATAAAGATTTAATTATTTCAGACCACCTTTCTATCTCTCTCTCCCTGTAGAATAAGAAGCTCAGCTCTGGCATCCGGTTCCAGGAACCGAGAAAATAATCCTGGTGGCGCCCTATTTAGCATTAGAGTCATTTTGTTGTTATATTGTTAATTATTAATTTTAATCAGGGCCAAAAAGAACGGGAAATAAACCACCCGTTACAATACAAAAGCTATTTTTTTGAGCTCGGAGAGCTCAAAATGATACACAAATTGTATTTATGAGCTCGAAGAGCTCTAAAACGTCATAAGTGCAATTCCAAGCGTTCAGGTAAAGAATTAGCGAGAAGTTGCAGGGATGGCCTTTAGGGTGAACCGTTTTTCTAATTTTTTTTTTTAGTTTTTTTGAAATTTCTCAAGACCTACCGGTTTGAATCGGTCCAAATTGTATTCAAAATCTAAGTTTAGTCAAGATGGCATTAACCGCGATGAAATCGGTCAACCCGTTCAAAAGTTATAAGAGGATCACATACACACATACGTACATACACACACACATACACACACACACACACACACACACACACACACACACACACACACACACACACGCGCGCACGCGCGCACATCATCGCGGAAACATTCGGGGAAGCTTCCTAGGACCTTAAAACATCAACATCTGTTGAAAATTCGATTTTCGAAAAACGGAATAAAACCAATACTTCTCAACTTTTGAAAATTTTCAATTTTCTTAGCGGGAAGTTAAAAATAATCAATTTTTTTGACCCTGTTTATTATCCGTGTTTCATTCTAGAGAATACCTACTTGACAAGATCTATGTGGTACTCGACCCATTCAGAAATCATCAATTTTTCCGTAGTTGCCATATCGGAACCATCATTTTTACTAGTCATGACGTTCAGCGCTTCGAGCATGACCTTAAACCTATGTTTCAGTAGGTGAATTTGCCCACACATGCTGCATAGTATTGAGGATAACAAAAGATCCATCAGTAAATCAATCCCATTAGTAATATTTATTGCTATCACTTGAAATGCAGCTGTCAGCCAATAAACTGTGGGGCTTGAATAATTGTAGGGAAACCATCCATTGAATGGCAGAGTTTCTGAAGGGTTCACTTCAGTGAAACGGGATCCACAATACACCAACATTGCACCTATAGTGATCGAATAACATATGAAAACATTTCTAGAAACGAAAATCATAATTACTACTTTAGATTATTCAGACAAAACATAAATTATTCAGTCAATTTAAATTCAAACCTGACTATGCCATCGAACTTTGTAGAAATTGCTTTCTCAATACTGTCACAAGACTTAAAAGGGCTTTTTTCTAATTTGTCACTGATATATTCAATTGAGCGACGTTCAAAAATTATGAGAGACATTTTTTGCCTAGCGTTTATTATAGCCAGAAGTAATGACATGTTATCGATTAGCTCTTCCACGTTAATGTCTTTTAACTCGATGATCAGAATCGAAGAAATAATGAATAAAAAATTGCAAAAAAATACTGTAAATTGGTAGATGTAATAAAGGAAAGCTTTGATTCCGTGCCAACCTCGAGGTTTCCACATTCCTGAGGCGCTCAGGAAAGTTAGAATAAACTTGATCATTTTCTTTGTGGCTGACTGTCCACTGAATTCTGTTTAATTCTGGTCGTCGTTGAAAGTAATTTAGAAAATTTCTCTGTCGTTATTAGATTTCCTAATCTCATCATGCAAATTAGGTAATTACGAAATGAAGGGGCAATTTTCTAGGTATTGCAGGTGGGAAGTTAATAATAAATTAGCTTAATAATGAACTGCGCAGAATAGATGCACCAACTAAGCTTAGAGCTCAGTCTTTGGGGTTCGCTTAGGTCTGCAGTATATCTATTGATTCCGAGGGTTGTAATATAATAGAATCCCACTAAACGTAATGCTAGGAATCAAGAACTAGAGTCATAATCATAAACTTTAAGGTTTCGGATAAAGTCATGGCAAATAGTCGAATTAATTTTCACATTTTGTTGGATATGTATACCCAAAAGTGTATTCATCTTAAAAATTGTTATCGATCACTTAAGGAGGTATCGTGAAAAATCACTTTTCTTACAATATTCTTTAACCCTTCGTCACTCGCGTGTTTTTTAGTTTCTCGCTCGTACTATAGTGAGTCTCTATAGGTTGAGTAGTTGTTAGGCGGCGATCTGCTCATGACGCGAGCGATGAAGGGTGAATTTTTGAATACGCGTACTTTTAAGTGTCCTCTATACGAATAAATTTGTTTTGATAGTCCTTGCAGTACTAATTTTCGAAATATTAGCAATTAAAAATCGTACATCTAACATGTATTCCCTATCCTGACCGTAGTTAGAGTGAACATTTTATTGAATAACAACCATACTTTTCTTAGAATTTTTTTGAAAAACTGAGAATATTTATTTGAAGTTATAACAAGTATTTTTTATCAAAAATAACATAAACGAGCGGTATTCATTTTCTTATAAAAAAAAGGTGTGTGAACTTATGTACAAGCGTCAGAAGTTATACTTCTTAGTCGTAAGAAAAAAAAATTTAAAGAAAGAAAAATGCAAAAAAGAACGAAGAAAAATGCTAAAAACAACAAAAAGGTTTTACTATAGTAAAAATTTAGCTATACCGTATGAATATAAAATCATTAATTATCATATGAATTTAATTCGATATTATTTAAGATTAATTAATATTTTTTCAAAAATAATCTATATTATTATAAGAGATCTATATTATTATAAGAGATTCCTATCTATATAGTCACTCATCACGATTTCTCGGGAACCATCAGACCTAGAAACTTAAAATTTGGTAGGAATATTACTTTTGCCATGTAGGGGTCATCTAAGAACGGATTTTTAGAAATTCTTATCCCAAAGGGGTTTGCGGGGGCGTTAACGATGAAAAATTCACGTTTTTAAACTATAGCTCCTATCGACTCCAAATTTGGTAAGAATCTTCTGTAAGAGATGTAGAAATAGTCTATGAACGAATTTTACAATAGATCACCCCACAGGGGGTTGTGGGGGTGGGTATTAACAATGAAAATTTTTAATTCTTAAACTGTAGCTCCTACAATTCTATAAGCACAATTTTTTCACTTATGTTTAAAAATAGCAAATAATATTAGTCAGAATATTTAATTTAAATCACTACTCAATATAATTTATTAGCATATGTATAATTTACACTTGTATGAAACTCAAACACGTGTTGTGAATGTAGAAACTAGAAACATGTGGATAAATATTATATATATGAAAACAGTGATCAGAGGCGACGAGCGTGTCAACATGCGCGACTAACAGAGGTTTTATTTCTATTTTGTTGGTAGTTTTCTAACTTCTCACTAAAAAAATTAAAAATTTTTAAAAGTTGGGAAGTTATTGGTTTCACCCCGTTTTTCGAAAATCGAGTTGTCAACGGATGTTGACGTTTTGAGGTCCTAGGAAGCTTCCCCGAATATTTCCGCGATGATGTGTGTGTGTATGTGTGTTTTTTTTGGGGGGGGGGGGGGGCAATCCTTTTTACGGATTCTAGGCATAGTTGTTGGCCTGGATATGTGGCGACTCGATGCAGCGTCATACTAATACTCGACGCTAACGCCCCTACCCACTAAACCCTAAATCCCTTTTCCTTCTTTCCTCTAATCCCTCATGGAAACCGCCGTCAGACATTACTTCATGAAGGGAGGATCTAGCTACTGCTCTTTCTTCTGGTGGCTAAGGTGTTAACTACCTTCCTTCTATCTTCTGCTATTTGCTCTTCTTCTTTCGGTGGAACGCAAGTCCTTGAGGACTTCTGTTGCAAACGTGTTGGTAGCGTTTCAGGCAGCTTCTGATGACAACATTGCTTCCACTAGTGAATCTGGTTGCATTCTCTGGTTCAGGATCCTCTCCAACTCGTCACGCTGTGGATCGAAACGAAGACATACAAAGAAGACGTGCTCCGCATCTTCAGCAACTCCTGGGCAGGATGGGCACTCCGAAGAGTCATCGTGCTTAAAGCGGTGTAGATACTCTCGAAAACACCTATGTCCCGACAACATTTGCGTAAGATAGTAATTGACCTCACCGTGATTCCGGTTAAGCCAAATGTCGATCCGAGGTATGAGACGGTGCGTCCACCTACCCTTCTCTGCAGCATCCCATTGTAGTTGCCATCGGCCTATGCTCTTCTGCCGTTCTTCAATTCTAAGTTCTTCAGGGCTCAGTGCAGTTGACCTTTTTCGTTGGTAAAGGGCCCGTCTTTCCTCTGCTAGAACTCTAAGAGATAGGGTTCCAGCAATGACGCACACTGCTTCTTCTGATATAGTGCGGAAGGCACTAGCTACTCGTAGGGCACTTAGTCGGTATATTGGTCCAGCTTTTTCCCATGATTCTTGGGTTTCCAGTGCATCAGCCCAAATGGATATTCCGTAAGTGAGCACTGATGTGACTACTGATGACAATAATAGCCTCCTGCTCTGCATTGGGCCTCCGATGTTAGGCATCAGTCGTGCGAAACTAGCCCTCACTACTGACGCTTTGGCACTGACATGTTCCACCTGCTGCTTGAAGTTGAGTCGTGCATCCAGCATCACTCCCAGATAACGGATAAATGGTTGTGATATGATTTCTTGTTCTCCGACTCTCAACTTGATGGTTTCTACCGTTTTTCTGCTGGTGATGAGCACTGCCTCGGTTTTATGCTTGGCTAGTTGCAAGTTCATCATTTCTATCCACAAATTGACTCGTTTGAATGTAATATCAAATGCCATTTCTATCTCTTCGAGGTGCTTTGCGACGATCACGACAGCTACGTCATCCGCATATGCTACAAGTTTGACCCCCCTGGGCAATGCTATTCTCATGAGGCCATCATACATGATGTTCCATAACAGAGGACCTAAGACTGATCTCTGTGGCACTCCTCCGGAGATTTTGTACACTTCCGTACCGTTCTTCGTGTCATATTTCAGGACCCTATTCGTAAAGTAGCTCGCTAATATTCTGCGAAGGTATCCTGGTACGTTTTTTTTCTCTAGAGCCCGCATAACACAGTCCCAGATAGCGGATTTGAAGGCATTCTTGATGTCCAAAGCAGCCATCAAGCAGTATTTCTTCTTTCCACTCTTCCATCTCGTTCCAGCGATTGCATCCTTGGCTGTATCAACAACCAATTTGATTGCATCCAGAGTTGACCGTCCTTTTCGGAAACCGAACTGGTTCTCTGCCAGGAGTGGATCGACTAAGAAGTGCTTTTCCACGTGTATTAGTGAACTTGCTGCCCCAGTCTGCTGCCCAGGAATTGAAGTCACCAGCTATTGTCACGGGAAAGTGTTTTCTTGCGTCCTCAGTTAGCCGATCAAGGAAGTCTTCAAACTCTTCATTAGAGAGACTAGGTGGTGCATAGCAGCTGTAGAAGCGGAGACCATCTACCCATGCTGCTACGAAGCCGGCTTCTTTGTTGTTGACTGTTCTCTGAAAAGGACATTTACCGCAGGACCAGATGACGGCTTTGTTAGTGCTGTCGGATTCCCAGGGTTGATTACTCAAGTGTCTATAAGGCTCACTTATAAGTGCTACGTCTGCCTCTAATTCGCGCACAGTTTGCATGAGCAGGACATGCGCAGCCTCACAATGATTAAGATTAAGCTGCAATATCTTCATGTTCTTGGCTTCGTTATCTTCTGGAGCGCTTCTTGGAAGACGGGGCATCTATTCGTGCCTGCATGGTGAGCCGCCTTTTCTACGCCGTGCCGTTCAACGTACAGTGCATATTCAGCTGGATTTTTACAATCAGCAATTTTGTGTCCTTTTCCGCACCTTATGCAGTGCTGAGACCGGTTGACTTCGCTTTTGCACTGAGATCCGATGTGCCCAAAGTGCCAGCATTTGAAGCATTGTATGGGTCTCTTCGTTGCTCTCATTCGGCAATTCGACCAGCCTATCCTTATTTTGCAGTTTCCCTCTAGTAATTTTTGTGCTGCAGCTGCTGGTAGTGACACTGTGGCTGTCTGTGTACCCCTAAAGGCTTTACGGATCTTGATTGCCTCTAGTGGGATTTCACAACTTTCTCCAGCTTCCCTCTTTAGAGCGGTCTGAATATGCTCTTTCGTCGTGGCATCATCGACATCTCGGATCTCGATAGTCTCCTGTGGCCCTTTGCAAATCACTTTGGCCTCCTCCTTAAGGATGTCCGCGATCGTCTTTTGCAGACCTTGGCCTTTGTCAGTGCTCTTCCTCGAAATCGTAATCATCAAGTCTCCACTTCTGGTCTTGTTGATCTTATCCACAGTTGAACGAACCTGCTCATCTGGGACGTCCTGCTTTATGCGACGCAGAATCTCGGCATACTTTGTTTTCTCGGCCGGGCGGATGATCAGTGCGTCGGGTCTGATCCATTTGCGTGGTTTTTTCCGCTTAGGTTCTGGCCTGGGCTCCTTCGGCGGCTGCTTTGAGAGTTGCTCTCTAGCTAGTCTTCTCTTCTCCTTCTTAGACTGTACTTTTTCCCAGTCAGTCGTCTTCTTGGGTTCGTCGCCATGTCCTGCCAGTTATTGGGGAGGACTTTTTTTCAGATCCTTCTTCTTAGAGACTTTGTCGGTTGGCTCTGGCGAA